ATTGGCACTGGAGCTGGGGCTGGCACTGAACCTGCTGCGACCATAAATTCCATTGATTGTCGCGCCAGCCAGCGTTTTGTATGACAAGTTCGAAGTCTTGTATTGTCTGTGTCGCCGCCGCCGCGCGTTTTGTCTTGCGTTTGTATGACTTCTGTTGCCAGCCGGGCGGCAGGGCACACCTGAGCCGCCGCCCCTCTGCCGTTGCTGCCACTCACCTGCCAGCATTCGTTTGTTTAGTGCCTGCCTGCTGCCGCTTCTTTAGTTTCTTCAGTTTGTTGAGTTTGCTGAGTTTCTTCAGTTTCTTGAGTTTCCCTGGGCCCGCATGTCACATAAACCGCAGCTGGGAGAGACCCCATTCTGGCCACTCGGGAAGTGTGAAGCGGAAACCAAACAAAAGCCGCCTAAAACAACTGCAGGTAAGACAGATAAGGTGTCCGCCAGTCCGCCGCGGTCCTGGGGCATAAGCGAATTTTAATATTATATAGCGGGGACTCTGAGAGCTCACAAGCCTCCAAGACTCAATCTCTTCAATCTCTGCGGCGCTTGCTTTTCTCGCTTTTAGTTTTTTGTTTGCCCTTAACTTTTGTGGGGAAAAGCTTGGCCTTTTTACACCTCCAAAATAGGCAACTATCTGGGGGTTTTTTATTTGAGTTTGTTGCTGCTTACTTAACAACTTGTCGCCCTCACCCAGCATGTCCTTTGCCCCGAAGGCAGACAGGGAAGGGAGTCCTCTTTGGGTTTCTCCCTTTTCTTTTTTTCGCCCTCTCCCCGGGGGTTTTGTTTGCTGGCCTCCTTTGCATAACTGGCTACAAATATTCGTCAGAGTGTCGACACAAAGTTGGCCAAGTTTCCACTGAGCCAGGTCTCTGGCCAAGGAAATTTTTGACACGCGCCCAGAAATTTGAGAGGTAAAGCTACTCAGGGATTTGAAGGGAAAACTGAAGGAGGAAAATTCTAAAAAAAAAAAGATATATATTAGAAGAAACTTTTTAGATTTCTTTGCCACCACATCCTCTTAAATTGCATTTCGACTTAAATGTGCATAGATTCCATTTCAATTTCGGTCATTTGCCATTTGAAAAGCATTCCAAATAATTTGAAACTTTTCCCTTTGTCACCTAAAAACTTTATCCTCGAAGGAGCCGAAAAAGACCAGCATCCTTGCATTCCCCACATCACTTATTGTTACTGTCGAAAATTCCTTTTCCACATTCGCCATCGAACTTTGCGGCCCAAACTTACACAGCCTGGCAAATCCTTTGGCCGGCTAAGGGAAAGGGAAGAGCCAATCTCTTTTTAAGCTGTTCGACTTTCACTTTGTTGTTGCCCAGGACGATCAACGCCAGAAGTTTAGTCCTAGCAGGGAGAGGGTGTAGAGCAAAAAAGTTCTCAAAAGTTCCGGTATTAAGTCCATTTAACCCGCCATTGAACTTTACGCCTCAACGGCCGGCTAATGCAACAAAAACTGCAGGATCCCACGTAGAGGCAGAGGCTTGAGAACTTGCATAGTAACCAAAGGACCAGCAAGGACAACAAAGTAAATGAGCAGCAGGCAAAAAAAGATACGGAAAATGAAACGAAAAAACGTAAAAACTTTTGTGGCAACAGAATTTTCCATGTTCGTTTTTCCTTCTCTCTCTTTTTTTTTGGCATTGCAACCTGCAGCACAAAAAAAGGGAAGAGAATTCAATAAAATAACGTTTTCCAGCTGGCCAAAGTGGAGCTGGCGAGAAGGAAACTACAGTAAAGTTTTCCCAGGGACAATTTTCGTGAAATTTGTACAGCCACGCCCCCTCCTGGGCTCTCTCTACGCCATTTTGGCATTAAACTTTAACAATGGACGCTGGCGCGTGTGAAAGAAAGGAGCAAAGAGAGCCAAAGGAAGTAAAGGAGCCACAGGAGCCAAAGGACGAACGGAAGTAAAAGAAGCCGCAAAAGTATACCAAAAAGAAGGCAACAAGGAGGCTTTAGGGGGCGGCCATTTGTACTTAAACTGATCTACTCAAGTTCTCGTCCTTCCTCCATATATATATTCCTATATCCTATATCCTATATCCTACATCTGTATCTGAATCTGTCTCCATGTGTAAGCGCGTGCGTTTATCCTGCTTACAGCTGCACAGATAAACATTTTCGTTGGAGGGACACAAAATAAGAAAGGCGGGCAAGGAATGCCACATCCTTGGGCCGCCGCCTTGCATCCTTGCGCATCGTTTTCTGTGTGACTTTGCAGACTTTTTTGTCTGGGAAAATGTTAAATTTCACAGCCAGCATATGCTGCAGTCCCTTAGGGGCGTTGTCCAAAGGGGTTTCTAAAAGGTTTATTTATTTTAATGAAGCCACAAAGGACATATGGTATTTATTTATGAAAAACCCATTTTAATAATTAATATTTTAAAAGGAAAATAATATTGAAGACAAACCCCTTTGCTGCCGCCTCTGTCTCAGCTTTGGCACAACTTACTATTATCGCAAGATAAATGCCAGTTCCACATAACTAAGACTTACCCAGAGTCCCGAGCTCCGCTTGCTCCTCCGCACAGCTGTGCTGGCAAGGATGCTCGACTGAGTCCAACAAAGCTGCTAAGCCGCCAGCAAAGGATAAGCAGTGGAGCAAGCGAATGGAGGAGAAGCGCTCCTGCAGCGGGGCAACCTGCATAACTGATGGCATCCACCAGATGCAGGCCTCTCCCACTGGATCGGGGACTCTGTGTCCCGGCATTCGCGGCATCTCCTCCCGAGGAGGACCCGGAATTTTAATAGAGCAAATTTCAACAACAAGCCCGGGAAAAATGAGAGCAAATAGAAAATGCGCAGCGTTTTATTCCGCGCTGGTAATAAAACTTCAAAATGAAGTTTAGAAAACTTTTTAAATGCCTTTCTCCTATAGGAGATGGACGACAGCCAGGACAGGCAGAGGACTCCCTCCACGCAAAGAAAAGCGAACAAAAAAATAAATAAAACAGGCCATAATAACGATGATGACGCCTACAACACAACGCCCCCACGAAGGCGGCCACGCCCCGTTCTCCTCGTCTCCATTCCGGCCATATCCTCCTGGCAGGATCTTCGCGCAAAATGCTAAACGGGCCCCAAGGACCAACTCGGCCCGGCTCTTTGCAAATTTACGATTATGATTATTACAAGTCGACGTCTCTCCTCCTCCTCGTGTACGAGTGGGTGTGGGCCTGACATTTGGACAGCTGCTGTAGGCAGGACGAGGCCAAGGACGAGCAGCACACGGAGGAGCAGTGCCAAAAGAATGCGTCAAGCCACGGCCAGGGGGAGGGAGACTGAGACTCCTGGACTCAGCTGAGCACGAAAAGTTGTGCCAAAGTTATTACAACTCTTAAAGATGCCACCGGGGGCGGGATTGTATTCCGGGAATGTGCAAGGGGGCTGAGACATTGACCTCCAGTTGGACAGCGTCTGGAAATCGGCAAATTCCATGGGGCATAATAAACGTAAGATAAAAGTCAAAGAGGGACAAAAATTATATAATAAACTGTACACCGAAATGAAATTATTGCAACGAGGGTGGGCCATGCTCAAGGAAGGGGAGCACATCTCGGGGATGTTATCGTTGGATTCCATGTGAAGCTGGCAAATAAAAGTTTTGGGATGTGCAGGAGTTTCGCGGTGTTTCGTAACTTTGTTTGCGGGAGTTGCGGGAAATACTCTAAAATGAAGTTGGGGTTGAATTTTACGAATTATATTTGGTTTATTTTATAAGAGAAATGAAAGTTAAAACCAAAAAAAACTAAAGGAAAAATGTTTATTTAATTTTTAGAGATTTTAGTTAATGTATTTTTACTAAGGAAATAATTTTAATGAAAATTGGTTCTTTATGTTTATTTAAACTTATTCAAGGCCCTATTTATTTTTCTAATATTAATAAAAGGTCAAAATATAGAGTATTTAGACTTTACCAATCAAATCTCTACCCTCTCCCCACTTTAAAATATTTTTCTTTTTTTGAAATCGACACAAAAAAAAAAGCTCTTCTCTTGATACTGTAAAAATAATACCCAGATTTTGAGGCTGGGTTGCCGTAGACACACCTACACCCCGACAACACGTACCCACACTCGCAGGCACAACAATAAGTCAGGCATGCAGGTGGGGGGACAGGCAGGGGGGGATACCCAAGGCACAGGGCGCTTTCGGCTTATCAAGTTGAGCGCATCAAATTCTCAAAAAATAATATACCAAATCATAAAGGCATGACGATGAGCAATTTACCAAAAGCCAAAGCCAAATACTGGCAGGAAAAACGAAGAAAAAAAGGCAGAGGAGAGATTCAAATCAAGAACGTGCCCCGAAACGAGCAGAAGAAGGCGATTATATACGTATAAATAGGTATACTTTCGGTAAAAACAACAAACTAAATGATTAATGATGAACCGCTTTTGTCTGCTCGCAGGCGAGCATTTCATTTTCACTTTTCCCTCAGAGTCGAGAGTCCCAGTCGCAGTCCCAGGCAGCAATTGAAAACTGAAAATGTTATTTTTCAACTTGAACTTCGATGGCTTGTAGCCTGTAATCACTTTGTCATTGCCATCATTTCTCAGCAGCATCAATTGTTTGCTCTCGACACAAATTCACTTCAGAACGAACCAACCCGCCAGGGAACCAGCTTTCGGAGCGTCTCTAATGGAAATTGAGAGATACAAGGGGCCGTCACAAAATGTAACTGCCAGTGAGTGAGCTATGGAGTGGACTTCCCTGGAATTGGCCTCGAACTTGGCCCCCTTTCAGGGCCTAGTGGCCGCCAAAGATCAAAGGGGAAAAAGTTAAGATTAAGCTGAAAAATCACACATGAACAATTTCTGTACTAATAATCTTTCATATTTGTAAACTTTTCATTTTTAAATAATTTTTAAGAGAGTTAAATTCATTTTTTAAGAGAAATCCCAACCAGAATCCTACCCTGACCAATCAATTTGGAACCTTAAATGTCACATCCACAAAGCTTTGGCTTACAACCTTAAATTAGAACAGAGTTCCGCGGCAGTTAGTGTTATTCCTAGTTTTAACTCCAACCACGATGCACTGGTTCCTCGCCTATGCGGTTGTCTTGCTGGGCACCGTTGCCCTGAGCAATCAGCAGGGGATGATTAGTGTAAACACCGGCACGACTGACATTGACGAAGCAGTTGGATCGGCTGCTATTCCGGACAAGGGATTCATTACGGACACTGTGGTGGGAAGTGGAGACCCAAATATTAAGCCTCCAAAGGGACTGCCTTCGACAGGAGGTGGGATTACCATCACCAGCAACAGCAATGTGAATACTGGCGATAAGACCAATGTGATTAGCACCAAAATTCAAGATATTAAACTGCCGTCACCACCACGACCACCGCCACCGCCGCCGCCTCCTCCGCCACCGCCACCACCACCGCCTCCGCCACCACCTTCGTCCCCACCGCCGCCACCACCACCGCCGCCGCCACCACCTTCACCTCCACCGCCGCCACAGAATCCAAATCAATGGCCAGCTCTTCCTGAACCTACTCCCATCTCCTCAATCCCGCCCCTAGGGAAAACGTCATACCCCAATGTCAATTCAAGGGAAGTTCAAGGTATTAAACTCCCGTCACCGCCACCGATACCAACTCTAGACCTGGCTCTACCTAAACCTATTCCTCCTATTAAGATAATCCGCCCGATCCCGCCCCTATGGGGAACATCCAGGTCGGACTCTAATGTCGATTATTCAAGGAGACTTCAAAAAATTAAAAAGCCGCCACCGAAACCAACTATATGGCCAGCTCTCCGTAAACCTAAACCTATTCCTCTTATTAAGCCCATCCCCCCAATCCCGCCCCTACGGGGATCTTCCAGGTCGGACACCAATATTGATTATTCAAGGCAACTTAAGGATCTTGAAAATCTTGTACGCTTTGGATATGGCTTCTAATAGTAGGAGCAATTTTAATAAGCAAATAAAACCAAGTCCCCAAGGGAGGATAACTTGAATTGCAAGCAAGTGTTAAATAACCAAAAGTAAGACGCATTTTCTTAAACTTAACCTTTCAAGCAACTTAAAGCACGACTAACTGGAGATTTAATGCCCTCCCCCGAAGTTTGTATAATACAGGTGCATAATACAAGTGGTATAAACTGTAGGAACTCACCTCGTTTTGATTTCGCGGCGTGCCAATTAGCCCGCTGGAATGTTCACTTGACTTTGCCTTGTGTTCAATGCGGTTTTTATGGCTCTAACAGTGGTTGTTGTTGCTGCTGCTGCAAATGTTGCTGCTGCTGCAGTTGTTGTTGCTGATGCAGTGACTGGGGCTGGCGGCTGTTGTCCTTTCACGCGGCGACAACGCGGCGCAGACGTAATCCACAACTTGAGTACCGTTTAGTGGCCGCTGTTTCTGTGCAAGGATAACGGTAATTAACCCGTCGGGGTCGCCTGGTCGCATTGCCGGCTCTCCTCTTGCTTGACACTTTTTCAATTTTTTTTCCTCCACTCAGCTGGGCACACTCACACAAGCACTACAACTACCACACACACTTGGCCACACTCTCTTCACTATGCGCTAATTTTTTGCTTTGAGCCGCGATTGCATTTGCTTGGCTTTTTACACTTTTTGCCTGGTCGGCCAGGCGCGTTGTTTTTTTTCGAAAGCGAAGAAAATTCCAAGACGACGACAACGGCGATGTTCTTTACGTCTCTTTTTTTTTATTCAGAATTTTTTCTCCTTTTTTTTGTTAGCCGGCTCTGGCGCTCCAGCAGCAGCAGCTCTTCCGCCAGAAACAAGCTTTAGCTTCGGCGGAGCCAAGCAGGTTGGCCAGGTTGCAGGAGGAGGCTAAGATGCAGTTGCAGGGGCGCGGCAGCAGGTACAATCTGCAATCTGTTTGTGGCATTAAATCAGTGAACCAAGACCGTTCCGACTTGGCCAGATTTGTTTATGTGCCGTTCTCACTCCTCTCTGGCACCACACTCCACTCCCCTATGCAAATTGCTGCAGTACGAACAGCTCAATTAACGCGGAATTTTCGGTGTTTCAGCGAAGGACGACGGTTTTGGGATTCGGTCCGAGGATCGCTTTAGATCCTGTCATAACATATCATAAGAAATGGACTCGGGAAGCACTCGGGTTCGTTTCTCTCTGTCTAGTTGCTAGTGCGTTGGGCTACGATGTCGCGGGTTTATGGCTGCCTGGGCTCCCGATATCGTCTCTCGACACGTCTCGAACCGGTCTCAAGTATCTACTGAACGGCACGCACTGGGAACAGGTCCGCCGAGGCCCAAGGAACGCCAGCGGAACGGAGTGGAAGTGGACCACTCATAGGCTCATGGCTTCCACTCATTCGGGTTGAGTGAAAACTCAAACTGGGGAAGGTAACTCACTCACTTGTTCACTCACTGACTCACTCGTTCACTGGGAGTTTTAGGAGGCAAGTCGGTCAGGTGTTTAAGCCGCTGCCGCAGTTGCGTCCGCATCTAATTGTGAATGATTTATGTGGGTCGTCGGCCCCCGCCAGGCGGCATTACTATATACCGGGGGGGATATGGCAGGGAGCATCATCATCGCACTGGGCAAGCATCATCACCAGGAACAGCAGCAGCACAAATGGCCGCCGCAGAAAGAAAGTGCCATGAGCCGATGCAGTTGGCACCATCGAAATGAAAATTCAAAATCCCAAAAGAGGGGATTTTTTTTGAGGCTGCAAGTGCAAAATGCACTGAGAAAAAATGTATATATATAGTATTATTAACCTCATAAAAACTAACTCAAAACAGATTTCCGAATCGAATTGAATTCATTTTTAGCTTAGCTATACTTTAATTTTCCCCACTTGTATGTAGGAAAATCCCCAATTTATTCTCCTCTGTGATTCGAGTGGAAAACAGTTGCCATTCAGTTTCCCTTAATCCCGGGCAGGAGGTCGTTGCCTTTAAATTATCAACGGGACAAAGGACACGGCGCCTCCCAGCTGGTCAGCTTTGGTCTCTCGGCTTCCCAGTTCCCAGTTCCCCGATCCCAATGCCCGGTGACCAGTGACCAGTGACCAGTGGCCATAACTAAAATCGCCCGGCACATTAACGGTCCGTGATGGTGACTCAGTCGGGGTCAGACAGGTCTGCGCGTCCAGATCCCTCCTGGGGGAGGAAAAGCGAACTGCGAACTGCACAGGTTGCTTTATTATGCAAAACTCTGCCAGCAGATGGGTGTCCAGGCAAAGTTCCACATAAAGTTAAAGTCCAAGCGGAGGTTGGGGGCTCCAACTTAATACTCAAAGGGCACCAGAAAAAAGGTAAAGTTAAAAGCAAAAATCCAGGCAGATAGAGGCGGAAAAGCACTTAGTTCTGAGCTCTTATCAGTAATTAAAGAGCTCTTCTCTCCTTTTTTAATAAACCTTTACTTACTGTATTCTAAAGTTTAATTAAATATTATAAAAGTATTTTGTTGAATTGATAAATTCCTAGAAAATATTCCCCAAGAATGAACAATGATTCTTTTTGCTGGCATCGTTCGTGCCCGGCCTAATGCCTGGCGACTTCTCAACTAATTCAAGATGGACAGGGCCAACACTCATGGACTAGACAAGTTCGATGCCATGGATGGGCATCCAAGTGGGTTGGGTTAAAGCCCACCTTCTCCTCCCCAGCCGCAGTCTTGGTCTGCTCCACCTGACAGCCAGAAGACGTCGCGGATGGCGAGCCTTTCGAATGATTTATGAGCAATGCGCCCCGACTGGCCGAAGACGGAGCGCCAAGCTCCAAGACAAACAATTGACATTTGATGGATGCGTAACTCGTGCATTCAAATGCAAAGAGTCAGAGCTGGCCAAGATGGCGAATGGTAAGATGACTCCTTGCTGCCTCGGACCTGGACCCTCCTCCCTTCGATATTTGACAGAGCCGCGTCGGCTAATTGTTATTGATAATCGCCTGGGCACTGGGCCGCCTGTGTTATGTCTCTGTTTAGCCGTCGATTAATTAGTCAATTAATGGACATGATTTTGTGGAGCAGCCACCTTGGCTGAGACAGGCGCATCCAATTGCAGTGTCCGCCATGTCAGTGGTCTCCTCCTGGGCCTTCCGGCTAATCAGATCCCTCGGCCAGCTTCCACACGAAGACCTTTTGCTCCTGGGTGAGTTATGCCCGGGCATACTCATTGTCTGGTCTCTCGCTCTCTGGTGGAAATCACGGACCCTGCCTAACAGCAAACAAACTTCTCTATTATTGATTTATACCTTTCAACGATTCTCTGTATTTATCATGAGTGCAAGCCACATTTATCATTAATAATGCCGCGGCAGTGAGCTCTGAGCTGCGAGCAGTGAGCAGTGAGCAGCCGCCGCCGAATCAGAATCTCTGGCAGAAGCAGCAGCCGCTCCAGACGCAAAGTGGTAGCCCAGGAGCAAGAGCAAGAGGTGGAGCAGGAGGAGATGCCCCGAGCAACCGCATCTAGGCAGCTGCCTAGACCAGCCAAACCCTGGGCAGACACAGTGGACAATGGTGGCTGGAGATCGGAGAAGTTCAAGTAATCCCTCAAGCAATATTTATTAAATATGTCTTAAATGTATAAAAGATCGTATTTATTTACTTAAATTTATATTCTACATTGAGTTAATGAAATATATTTTAATTATATTATAGAAGATTTTCCTATAATCTCCTTAAAAGAACAAGCTCGTTTAACTAAAAATAACCTTCACCATTACCTTATTAATTTATTTATTTAACAAACAATAATTTTACTTAAATATATTATAAAAACCATGGTAAATTTCCCTAACTATCAAGCTCCCGCTGCTGAATATCCTACAATTCCCTCTTAAAGATTCTCCCCCATTTGATGCCTAACTAATTGCCCATTGAGGCGTCGCTTTGAATAAAAGGCAACTATCCATTATCCATTGTGATGGTACCACTGTGCCAATTGGCCAGGGCCAGGGCCAGCGCCGATCCGATCCCAGTCAGCCACGAGGCACCCCCGTCGAGCTGCTGGCTGTACAGAGGGACAGTGAGCAGGGAGCAGGAGCTGTCTGGGATGGCCATTCTCGATTTGGAGCTGAAGGTATAGGAAGAGCTGCAGCTACTACGATCGTTTTCCGTACATCATTTCTATGCTGTATTTATTGCCCGGTCGCAGTGATCATCGCGTTTCCGTTCCATGAGGGAGAGAGAACCTGGCCAGCGAACGACGAACGGCGGCGAAATCCATTTTGGGAAGGTGATCTGTGGGATTGTGCTAATGTCAAATCAAGCTGTGCCCCCTTGTTATTTGGCCAGGGCCGAAAAGGAAGAAGCTGCCGGCCGAGAGAACTCCATGTTGATTTTATTGTAAATTGCATTAAAAGATTGCATATAAAGAATTTTATTTATCACCTCGGGTTGTTAGGGAAAACGCTGTTGGAGACAAAAGTTCTTCGGGCAACAAGCAGGGACAGAGGCAGAGTGTGAAGGCAGAGACTCCTGCCTAGTTCTGCATTGTTGTTACTTGTTGGTTCGTTGTTTGTCTTGGCTTATTTTTATTTTATTTTCCAAGAGCTAGCTGGAGATGGGGGCTCGGGCACTCAAGGTCTTTTGCTGGCAGAAGGTGTTCGAGGCTTGCTGCTCTTTGAGCTGATCTTTGCCAAATTTGTAAATGTTCTTTTAATGGAATTTGAACACTTGCCCGTGGTCTAGGTTGACTTTTTTCGTGTTCTTTTTCAAGAGACAAAGTCAAGCTGAGATTGCAGAAAACACAGAGGAAAATATAACACTAGGTTTTGGGGTATTAATTTCTTAAAAGAATAAATTATATATTGTAGGAATTTGTCCTAATCCTGGGAACCCTCGAACCCTGCTAATGATCTCCTAATCAGTGCTTAAGATTGCCACTTGAAACTGGTATTTATTCCGAATTAAGCAGAACCTACACTCAACCCAAATCTCGGGAATCGTTTGATGAATGCGCCCCGGCTTAGTCATATTCAAAGAACCGCGCTCGGAAGTGGCCATAAGTAGTTGGGTCAGGCCGAAAAATGCCTTTTGAGAAAGCGAATTTAGCAGACAAATAAATCAAGCCACCTATTTTCGAAAAAGAGTGTCCATTGTGTACCGGTCTCTGGTCCTCCTCCTCCTCGCCCGCTCTCAGCTTTTCGGTTTTGGTTTTGGTTTGGGTTTTGGTCTTGGGGTGCCGACGTTGATACCTAAAAATGGCAAAGACCAGAGGAGCTCTCGGCTCAGATTGAGAGGATTGCTCTGGCTGGATGCGATCGGGATCGGGATGGGGTTGGGGTTGGGATCTCTGGCTCTGCCGCCGTTGTACAATGCAATTGTTAACAAGCAAAGTTATGCGAGGCAAGCCAAAAGCGAACACGAGGAGGAGCAACATCAAAGGGCAGGCCCAGAAGGGTCTGTATAGAGGATACCGAGGATCGAGGATGTGCAGAAAGGCCAGAGCCTGGGAGAAGGTATTGGTTTAAGAAGCTTAAAGAACGAATATAGACATACCCTGGGAAATAATAAAGGAAGCTCTGAAAGAACTACATTTTAGTTCAATAATTAAGGAATAAATATAAATATATTTTCAGGCATTTACGAGTAGAATCTTTAGCTATTTTATTAAAATTAAATTCCTAATTTTTTTTAAATAAATGTATAAAATAAATAATATAATTAAACCCCCTTTTCTGGCCTTCAAGTCCAAGTCCAAGCCTCCTCTAGTCCCTAAACAAGGAACCTTAGTAAACCAGAGAGCCTTAAATCTTTTGCCAGGCCCAAAAACATGACAAAGGATCAGAGTGTGTGTGTATACGAGTTGGGTGTGTGTTGATTGGGTGTGTGTACGAAACGGAGGCGATTTGGCGGCCAACGTGTAGCGGAAGGTGTTTAACAAACAGCCCAAAAAACAAACAATTGTAAAACAGCAAAACGGGGCAACACATGCAACATGCGAAACATCGGGGGCGTGGCACTGGTCACCGCCCTCCTCCGCACAAGGGTCGCATTTTATCAGCGATAAAAGATCGAGGCGACTCGACAAGGAGGCACAAATAACCCACAAAAATAAATACGAAGCGCATTTTTATGCGGAAACACAAATTGAAATTCAATGCCGGGCAACCGGGGGGGACGCTCTCAGTGGCCCTTAAATTGCCTTCTGCAAATAAATAAAAAATAAGAAAAAAAAACTACACACAACACGCCCCCTTTCTGCCTTTGCGCCAGGACCAAAAAAATATATATATTCTCATTCGTATTTTTCGGTGATAATTCCGCTGGCCAGTCCGACTTTTTGGCTCGGGGCGTGTTTGTGA